CAGAACTACACTCACCCGGACGATCACACTATACGAACTAATGATACTCCTGGGTTCAAACCATTTACTAAATTATAAACATCCCCCAAATGTCTCACATTTATAGAATTTGCATATTTTATAAAATGACTTTTCAAAAAATTGTCAGTCATCAGACCAGCTTCTCACAGAAACTTGAGAGATGAACTTTCCTTACTTTTTTATGACTTAGGCCCAGTTCAGACATCGTGTTTCTGCTGTGCTGAACTTAATTACAATTTGGTTCGACTATGGCACGGCAGAGAAACAACTCTGATTCAGACGTCATACCAGAGTCGAACCAAATTTAGAATTTACTGATGCCTAGTAACAATTCTCCTCCTAATTCGCAATGGGAACGCAATCCCACCAGAATACATTAATATAATTTATGAATTTTGTTTGGCAGAAGCATGACTTTTTAACTGCCGCAGTGCGAGAGTTGTGTAGCACAGCAGAGCTTGTCAAATTTAACTGCTTGCCAATCTTAATTCAAAAGTTTGATTCAGACGCCGTGCTTCTGCCGTGCTTCTGTCGAACTTAATACCTGAATTCAGTTGTGCACGGCAGAAGCAAGACGTCTGAACTGGGCCTTATTGTTCAAAATTGACAGCTTGTGGTTGAAGTAGCAGGCAGTTGTTTACTGTGGTGGTAGCTTTGAGTTGGAGAGGTAAGGTTTTTTCTGGGAGACTAGTGTAGATTAAATTAAAGATGGAGTGTAGTTTTTAGCACAAGTGTATTTCTGACTTTGAAGTGCAGTCTTAGTTTCGAGGTGAATGGGTATCGTTGATACGGAATAGCAGTTTTAAGTTGCATTGAAAATGCTGTTTTAGGTGGAGGTACAGTTTTGAGGTGGAATTGTACATGATTTCCCCTGAAGGTGCATAACTTTGTGATGATGGAAGTGCAAATTTGACCTGGAGGTAAAAATATCAGGTGGTGGAAATGGCGTTCTCAGACCTCGTCACTCTGGCTCAGAACAGGGGCACCCAACGGATGGTTTCGGTAAATTATCTGTTCGGATAAAGAGGATACTGCCGAGGAGATAGAAGAAATGTAAACGAAGAAGAGAGAAAGGTAGAGAAGAAACAGAACTGAAAAGAAGGAACAACTCAATTTTATGAGATTGCAAGAAATGAAGTTAGGGAAAGAAAGAAATGTGAAGAAAAAGAAAAGAAAAAACAAGGGTAAAAGTGAATAGAAAAAGAAGCGAAGAGAAAGAGCAGAGAGGGAGAGAGAGTGGACAAAACAAGAGGAGACGAGCGTAAGAGAAAAGAAAGAATCTTAAGCGAGGTTGATGAGTGTACGATTTCTTTTAGTAACGTTTTAATGATCAATTTATTGTAAACCAGGCGCTACTCAACTAGGGGGTTTATAGTTGTTTGAAATGAAAATAAAGTCAATGATTCTTGTCCATGAGTATTGCCCTTGGATGATGAGGTGGCCATTTTGGATTATGTTGTTTCCAATAATGTAGTTATAATTTATTTATTTAGTTCGGCACGGTAATGGCACGCCGTTTGAAACCATGCCGTGCTTAAGTCGTGTAGCACGACAGAGCTTGCCGCGCTACACGACAGAGTCGAACTTAATTCTTAAATGGTTTCAAACGCCGTGCTACAGCCGTGCCAAAGTCGAACTCAAATAATGAATTTAGTTCGGCAAGACATTAGCACGGCGTTTGAAACGGGCCTTACCTTATTATCACTTATTTTCGCGGGACTTAATTTTCGCGATTTAACAAAATCCGCGAAATTAAAGTTCCGCGAAAAAAAGGTGCCGCGAAAATTCAAGAGGCGAAATTCAGTGACCTTTATAAAATCCTTTATTTAAGTTTTCCGTCTGCTTTGAGTTTACATACGAGTAGGAGGGCTCAAATTTCAGTTCAACGCATGTCCTTATTCCTCATCACCTGTCTCATCTTGCTGAATTAGTTCTTGTAACACTTGCTCAGTACAGTCATCGGCATCTGGCTCCCTATAGTTCTCTGTGATCAGCTGCTTGAGCCTCTTCAAGATGGCTTCATTCTTTTCAGAAGCGTCGATCTCCGCAATCAATTTCACTGGAATTTCCAGACCCCCCTGCAAAAGTGGCGATCTTCTTCAAGGAGCAGAAGACTGACAAAATTTTATCGAAGTTGCAACTTTGAATGACACACTTTTTCCAGCCCCTGGACCATACTGTGAGTGGGGAGGCAAAGCGTTTTATGAAGGATATGTTTACAACTTGGCATTCCGCTGAAGTTCAGAAACAAATGGAGTCGGGAAACAGCACTGACGAGATTAAGGTCCGTTTAAGGCCATCTGCGCTGAAGCCGTTACATGCCACCTGGCTGGTGAGCCTTTACAATCACTTGACAGGCAGTGTGGGAAAGCCTTCTTCTTCGTATTTGCTTTTAAAATTTGTTTACCTCACCAGTCAACATTCCTTAGTGGTGCATCTCCTCCTAAGAAAAATCCTGGATCTGCCCTTGACCAGAACATGGAGGTTATGGGAACTTATCTCACTAGAGAAGGAATTTCTTGTAAAATATCTAAGGGCTTTGGTTTTTGAAGGCATTATTTCAAGGAGACTATTTTTGAAATTTTATGATATGTTTGTCAGTGGTCAACATTTGATACATTTGGTTGTGGTTCTTGGTCAAACTTCACATCATCAGGTATCTGTACTTGTTTGAGGTTCTGCATGGATTCGCTAGGTTCATCGCTTATTAAAACTTGAACGACATTACCACAAGCTTTCTTGGCCTCTTCATCTGTCTCCCAGTTAAATAACTCCCGGAGGACGACATAAACATTGTTTTTCTTCATTATTTCTCTGCCATGCTTTGTTGCACATAGCTGCAAAAAGATTAATAGTTTAAATTAGACAATGGTTTCTCAAGACTGTTGAAAAACCAAATCCAAACTTGTCATTTGAAGTAAGAAACTAACATTCCCTATTGAGGTAGATTCAAATTTCAGATTTTTTTTTGTTCTGCACTATTTAGATATAATTGTTAACAATCAATCTATAAATAAATATTACATAAGATTAACAACAAGAACACAGAGACAAAAATTAGTTTGCTCAATTTTTGGGTACNTTCTTTTTGGACATACACATCTGACTACTGAATGTGGTAAAATACTTAAATGAAAAACAAAAGGGGCTCTGATAGTCATAATGTTCAATATTACATTTAAATGAGACAGCAGACTTCATAATTCATTTGTCTAGTCAGTGTAATCTATGTGACTGTGGGTCTTTAGATTCTTTCACTTGTCCCTGTTGAAGGGAGTAAGTTCAATCTGAGACCCACAGGTGAATTCACATATAAGAATGACGAGGGTGCTTATCAGAAATTTGTGAAAAGAACCTATAAGGAAAACCTAGATCCTGTTTTGTGGGTGTGGCTTGAAATTTTTTACCCCTACCAGATACCAATTCTAAGACAACACATTATCTTCTGCGACATATGTTTTGGCTCAATACACTAAATGGTACCGCTAAAGCTCCCGCTGTGGACCTTTTGAACTGAACACCAGAAGAGGTACCAAAACCGAAAAGCACCCCTGCCCTTTCGATATGGTAGTCTTCCCCNCACCCTCCACTGGGCACAGGTATGCGTGAGACAACATTTACACAGACGGGGGGCATTTCCCAGCTGTTTCATGTTTCCCTGGACCGGGAAGGGCCTTGTAGTGACTAGTGCACAAATCTTGACCAGTAAATGACCACTATAACTCACTTGTCTCGAAGCAGCAGTTTTTAAGTACTCCTACGATTCCTGCTCGCTTCACAAGAGAACCACTATAGGTGGTGAAGGGCAGAAGACGTTGAATAACACAACGATCTTTGTCCAAAATATAATCCCGTGATTCTTGCACCTGCGTCAAATTCGAAATAAATGTCGCAAGATAGTTCAATTTAGCGTGTGGATTGTAGTTCTCCTTGCACAAAACTTCCACGATCCTGTACAAACTACAATCCTCCGAGCTTTTTGTAACCTTCAAAACCTCGGTCGATCCACTTTCAGTTCTTGTCACATTGGAGAGAATCATGGCAACCTTGTCCGCGTGCTCACTGGTTTGATTGAGGGCGTAGCTTAAAAATGGTTGAACGATGTTGTATTTGAGAAGTTTCTCCGATGTAACTAGTTCCGCTGATAAATTCACCAAAGCGGAGTAAGCATCTCTACAAATGTTCGAGTTTGAGTCTCTGGTCAGATTGAGGAGGCGCCTCAAGTACTCTTCGTTTTCATGGAGAAATTTTTTGCCGCTTTCAGAACCAGAAAGACCCAGGATGTAATCCAAAGCCAGTGCTTTAACGTCTCCGCGGGCATCTAACGAGAGAAAAGGCAACAATTCTTCCGTAGCTTTTCGATCAATTTGAACCGCCATGTTGGATTACCGAGGAGATCTGAGTGCTAACTACAATCTCCAGTCCCGGGCCTTCGCCGGAATTTTTGATCGAGCTTCGCGCGCTTTCTGCCCGGGTGATTTTCCGGCTTCTTGACTTTTCTTCGGATCGAGTTTATTATATTGGCCGATTTGCGTAATTTGATTCTTAGACACGAATTTAGTGTTGTCGAATTTTGTACTGGATCTGTCTGGAATATATTTTCCAGCGCAAAATTTCTGCCGATGTGAAAGATGGAATGAAGAGACACCCGAGAGACGGCGAAAGATTTCGTGACTTCATCGTGGGATTGCTGGTTGGCTGGCTTTACAAGGATTATAAACAAATATTGTATTTGCATTATCTTGTGATTGAATAATTGCTGCCTTAATTCGACGCCTTTACGAGTCTCCAGCTGTTGGCTGTGATCGTGGAATAACCTGCACTTCTACTGGTCCTAACTTCTGTGAATATTTCATTCGGATGTTATTGAGGTTGCAGGCAGTAAATAATAGCTGTCAGCCATGTTGAGCAAGAAGCATCTAAAGCGGCGGTCAACCATTGTGATCGAGCACAAATTGGCCGAAACGCAAAGACTCGAAGAAGACTCGAAAAGAGAGAAGAACTGGAAGAGATGGGGTCCTTATTTGTCAGAGAGGCAATGGGGAACTGTGAGAGAAGATTATTCATTTGATGGATCGTGGTATGAATTTTTCATTCTTTTAGCAGGTTTTTGTCTAGACCTAGAGAGTGAGTCGGCGAGAAATGTGATCATGACGTTGTTATAACTTTTATACTGGTAAAAATTCAAGGTTAATGTAGGTCAGTGTTGTTTCTTGGCCGGATATTGGACCAGGACGCTGATCACGGAAAATATTTATAATTTGTATTTTTTCCAAAGCCAAATCAATTTCCGCGTTGTCGCTATCGTACCTTAAAATCACGCGACACAGCGTTGTGCAAACTTTTCAAGCGATTGTGGTTTAGGGTTTTCAGTTTCGATCTCCCTGTGATCAACCTCTCCATTGAGTAACTTGTTTATTGAAGACTGCGCTTGAAAGGGTCTCAGATCAGACTCTGTGGAGGAGTTGACACATTCCAATACAGGCTGACTTTGTACTTCCATTACAGTTTTCATTGGTAGTAAGGTTTGTAAATTAAGCTTACATTAATCTGTAGTTGTACCTTAATATCGACAAAACTTTTTAAGCATTATTTGCCTAAGTTCAAAANTTAACCTTTGTATACTTTATGTATACTTAATTGGCCACTCCCCACTGGGGCTTTTCAGGACCAATGTAAACAAACAATGATAAATAAATATTCAAATAAACAGAACTAGGTTAAGAATCCCAACTGGCAGGAGGCAGACCAGCTGGCTATTTACAAGCACAGCCGAGAAGTTGAACTCGGGGCTACCGAGAACAACATCAGCTGGTGGTCAGAACAGGATTTGAACCAAGGACCTACAGATTTCAAATCCAGCATTCTAACCACTCAGCCATGCTGTCTCCTCCTCCTCCTTAACCTTTCAGTTAAGGTTGTCAATAATAGCCCATTTAATGTTTCAGCTAGGCACCAGAATACTGAATTTGGATTCACAAGTGTAAAACTCATGCCTGAGATGCTAGAGTAGGCAGGTAATGGTATAACATACTGAGGACCCGATAACTTTATTTCCAGGTAACCATGGTGAAGATGTGAAGGAATGTTACTACTATTTGGATTCCACTCCAACTCATTCTTACATGAAGGCCCTGTATAAATACCCACAGAATGAATATCCTTATGGTTGGCTTGTCCACGAAAATCGTAACAGATCACGGCAACAACCTGAATTTGAATTAGCTGATACAGGTAAGTAGAGAATACCAATAATTTATGACTTAGCCATGCAAGCAGCTGATGTATGATAATTTTCTCAGTTGTTTGAACTCAGGTCTTATCTAGATACTCAGCCAACACTTGGTTGACACTTGATCCTGGTCTTGATAGACACTCGATCAACACTCAATCGAAACTAGATTGGCAGTCGGTCAGTAGGCGGCCGAGTGTCGACTGACTCACATGTATCAATCAACACTTAATGGTGTGTCTGCTAAAATTAGTTGCTTCTCGACTGAGATGTCAATCAAGTGTCAATCGAGTGTCAACAGAGGTGTTGTCCAAGGGTTGATCGAGATATTGACTGAGCGTCGATCAAGGGTATCCATTGACGCTTGACTGTGGATCTCTTTAATACACATGATCTGATCTGCAATGTTGGATTTTCTCCCCAGTTCTTATCATTAATTTCATTGTTCCCTAAAAATTATCACCAAAGTTCTTGTTAATAGTAGACATATATGTTGTTCCTTCAAATTAGTCCAAAAAATATCCCTTTTTCCTGTGAAAATGATCATGTTACCTTTGAATAATTTTTGTGAAACTGTTTTGGTTGGACCCCCACCTCTCTATAAATTTCAGGTTAGATGTATTTTTCCCTTTAAAACTTTTAGCTATTAAGTCGCCCCACCAGAGAATTTTGAATGGCTTTTTATGGGACAGAATTGGATATTCTCTGGAACTGCCCCTTCTTCCCCAACACCCCTGGGAGAGTCCTTGTAGACCAACAAAGTCTCTCTTGATTTGGACGATGCCTTCCCCTCCCCTCAGGACCTTCACCCAGTTGATTATAATAGACAAAGCACCTGCTGTGTGCTGTGCAGTAACAAGGCTGTGGCCTAACATCATGAAATATTCTGTCTAAATCTCTTCAAGGTGTATTTAACGACAGTCGTTACTGGGACATTACTGCTGAATATGCAAAGAACACACCCAATGACATCCTCATCCAAATAACCGTTGCAAACCGAGGCCCAGACACTGCACGACTGCACATTTTACCTACATTGTGGTTCAGAAACACGTGGATCTGGGGCTGTAAACACGAAGGATGCACTCGGAAAGCAAGCATGAAAGAAAGTGCCCCTGGTACAGTGGAATGTAAACATGAAACCTTGGGAAAGTACACTTTTGTTGTTGATGTGAATCCTGAAAACGAGATNTGGTCCTCTAACAATTAACAAAAGCTGCAAGGATGAAGCGTCTCTGATGACTTAAGGGATAGCATTCCATATGATGGGGCCCCTACACCTTGCGCTATTTCTCTATACATAACATCAACCACCAAATTATTCTCAAGGCCAAATGAAACTTTCCTAGCTATTGACTGTTTCTTGGTTGGGGTTTGTCACTACTCATTCTCTTCCCATTGTCATTTTTCAGTGTTCATTGTGTAAAAGCGATTATGGTTGTTAGTAAGACATCCTCCCAATTTCCTCGGAAAACTTGAGCGGCCTTTGGGAGTCTTTGGAAATCCTAGGCGACAACAAGAGAAAATGAGGGGACAAGCAGTAGCTTGGAAAGTTTTAGACGACCTTTGGAAAGTCTTCTCATCTTCGGGAAAAATTTCGGAAAATTGCCGGAAAACTTCGGTTAAACACTGGGCGTCCGTGGTTTTTGCACGGACCTCGCGGTGCTAAGTCCATTCTACAATGACAATGGGCAAGAGTCCCAGTATTCTCCAAAGAAACATCTTGCTTTGTTATTTGACTAATTAGAACATCAACAACACTTCCACAGCACACGCATTCCACATATCACTGTTTCATTTTCATTCGTTTAGCTGGACTATCTCCGTTGGAAACCGAGATTTCTCGCCAATCATATGCCGGTCTGTTGTGGAGCAAACAGTTTTACCATTACATAATCCAGGACTGGCTGAATGGTGACCCAGAAATGCCGGCTCCACCCAAAGACAGATTCAACGGAAGGAATTCGGAAGCGGAATGGCAGCAGCTGTTTAACAGAGATATCGTCTCCATGCCGGACAAATGGGAGTATCCTTGGGTGAGTTGGGCATTCTGACAGTGTATTCTTCCATACACCATCTTTGCATACACGATAGTAGTGATGCAAATGTGGGTCCTAGGAAAATCGGCAGTTAAATTAGGTTTTATGAAACCCGTAGAATTTTTCTTAAGTTAAGTTGTTGTTAAGATAACGTCCCGTGTGGAAATAAACAGCGACATTTTGAAAAGGTACCAAAAATAAAGTGGCTGCTTTCAACCTTTCGTTCCACCCCATTAGAACACAGTGGGTGGAAAAACTGACTGCTTCTTTCCGCAGACTGTTGGTCTTAAGATGAAGGGCTAACACTGAAAACTATAGGTTTTAAATTCGTACAACGAAGTCTGCACCGTAGTAAATACTGATTGGGCGATGAACACTCAAACTAGCATGGTTCAATAAGTCGGTTTTTGATCCATTGTCAAAAAGCCGACANAACGCGGTTTTAAACCTTACCCACCCTTATAGAAATAAAATCCCCTAAGAAACCTGTGGGGAGTACACATTCTTTAAAGGAACTAAGCCATGCCATTTTACGTACTTCGAAACCGCAGAACAATATTTTAAAACTGTAGGAGAACGTAACAAGTACCAGGAAGCCGAAAAGATGAAGTGGACAATTTTGACAAGATAAAACGAATTGCACTGACATAATTTTCTTTTGCTTTCCCAAGGCTGACGGCACGGCATGGATGGCCTTCTATTGTGTGGAAATGTTAAACATTGCTCTTGACTTAGCCGTACATGACGACACGTATGAAGATATGGCTTCCAAGTTCTTTGAGCACTTTACCCAGATTTCTGACGCCATTAACCAAATGTCTGACGGGGTAGGCTTGTGGGATAACGTGGACGGGTTCTATTACGACCATCTCAGTACGGAAACGTGCTCGTTGCCATTACGCGTGCGCAGTATGGTCGGCCTTGTTCCGTTGATGGCATGTCTTGTGCTGGATGACGAATATATGGACAGACTTCCCGGATTTAGAAAGCGACTCAACTGGTTCATGAAAAACCGGAGAGACCTTGCTTCACAGGTTAGTGATCTGCGTGTGGTGTCATTTCGAGATTAAGGGCCGCAAAATTGACCCGCCATGGTGTAGCGCGACCACTGACTGACTTTTCCCGCCCTTTTGCTTCGCCGGCTAGTTATCCGCGTGTGGTGTCATTTCGAGACGAAGTGGCGCGAAATTTTCCCGCCATGGTATANTTAGAAAGCGACTCAACTGGTTCATGAAAAACCGGAGAGACCTTGCTTCACAGGTTAGTGATCTGCGTGTGGTGTCATTTCGAGATTAAGGGCCGCAAAATTGACCCGCCATGGTGTAGCACGATCACTGACTGACTTTTCCCGCCCTTTTGCTTCGCAGGCTAGTATTCCGCGTGTGGTTTCATTTCGAGACGAAGTGGCGCGAAAGTTTCCCGCTATGACGTATCACGGAAACTGACCGACTTTTCCCTGCCTTTTTTCTTCGCCGGCTAGTTATCCGGGTGTGATGTCATTTCGAGACAAAGTGGTGCGTTATTTTCTCGCCATGGTATAACGCGACAACTCAGTAACTGACACAGGTTTCCCTCCTTTTTTTGCAGGTGTCNGGGTACCGAAAAAAGGTCAGCTATCATTTTCGGAAAGGCGATAAGACCTAAGGTTTTCGGGGAATGGACAAAAAAGCCCTAATAAATTCGACAATACCCAAGTTCCCCTAGAATAACCGAACAGATAAAAACTTTTTAGCGCAACCTAAAATTAACCTGCAGAGCTTCAAAAGTACTCCAGATAGCCTAAAACAGCGTTTAAAAGCATTTGAGAGAAAACGGTCGTTGGGTGCCCCTGTCAGAACAGTGAATTGAATTCTTGAAGACATTACCTTGTCTATCAGTATCCTGAAACTCTGTCACTAGGGCCTGTAAATATTCAAATCGGCCAAGATTGTCTGGACCAGTTTTGCGGTCGATACGAGCTTGACTTGTGAACATTTCAAATGAAACCGCTTTATCATCCTTAGTCCGCCATGTTTCTCCCCAGTGCTGGCGCGTGTCACAACCGGAAACAAAAGGAGGCCGGAAGCTGGTGTAGACCTGGGCCGTACAGCTGTATGCAGTTGCGTGACTCATTTTATTTTCGTGTTGTTTCTTTTATCATATAAACATATAAACATATGTTAATTTCAATTGATCGATTTCCGCATACGGTTTACCAAAAGCTCTCGTGAATAGATAAAGACTTCAAATGGGGTCCAAGGCAGAAAAGAAGGTAGTCGTTGCGGGCAAATATTGCGTCGGCAAAACCGCTCTGGTCACCAGGTTTACAAAGAATCGATTCTGTGAGCTATCACCTTATCAACCGGTAGGTTTGAATTGAATTCGCTTTAATTTCCCAATTAATCTCACCAATAATCCCCACTATGTTTTTGTTAAGCTCTATGCTAACGACGTAAGCTATTGTAATAAATTTGCTGCGACTGCGACTGCGACTGCAACTGCGACTGCGACTTTCATTTCCATGCCTGACCATGTTTAAGGGGTTTAATAAAAGTTTTTACTAAAGATGGAATTTCGAAATGATGTCTTCAACGCTGCTGTTCTCTTATGTTGCAATAAGTGTTCTTTTGCGTGGACTGGGATTACGAAAGGAAATCTTCCAAAGTTACTGTTCATACAGTAATTGTTATTTTAGCAGAAAACAACTGCACCCCAAAAGAACCAATTCCGAGAAATTCGGTGTCACGCTGTCACACGTAAACCCATTCTTTGCAATTGAGTGTGCCGCGTGTTTAATTATTCCAGCTACACAGTGAGATCCCGATTTTTCGAACTTCCAAGACAAACAAAAATAATAATTGGTGCAAAAAATCGGATAGTTCGAGAAATCGGGGGTAAAATTACAGTGTTCGACTCTGAGGAGAGGGAAACACCTTTTGGTTCGAGTTATCGGGAGGTTCTAAAAAATGAGGGTTCGAGAAGTCGGAATTCCACTTTAGTTTAATTTCCCTTGCTTGTCTTCAATGTTTGCATTCTACATTTCAAACTGTAGAGTAGATATCGCTACATTATCAGAAAAGAAGATGTTTTTTGTTGTTTTGTCGGTCTTAGTTAAAGTATTAAAGCTTGTCCGTACATAACAACCATAAACTTCGTTAAAAATTTGCTTGTGCTTTCGAACATCTGTAGAAATTCAGGGAGCCTATCAGTAGAGCCGAACTTTTTGCACCATTACCATAAAACCGAATCTAAATTAAGTTCACGGAAATGTTTATAACAGGCTATTTTAACACCTTTCTAACATTTCCAGACGATAGGTGCAGCCTTTGTGGCTAAGAGAGTGATTGTTGGTACTAAATGCGTCAATCTTGGAATATGGGTAAGTCAAGAGATAATCTCTTGGGGTAAGTTGAATTCCACGAAGCTTCTCTAGCCAAGCAATGCTAAGTAATGCTAATCGCGTTTTCAGTCAGTCCATAGTTTTGTTTATTTTAGCTTTGTTTTAATTTTTTCGGGGCGCCTGGCCTCGCTCCCCTCACTCGAGTTGTCGCGGCAGCAACTGCGGGCAATGTTTTATAAATTTTCTTTATTTCTGATCCCTGATTTTCATCCCGAATTCGAAATCAGTCTCTGCATCTCCGTTATCTCAATGTCTCACGAAAGAAGTTTTAAAAAAAGCGCTTAAACGGAAGGACAAGGGGTGACATTTCATTTCACGCAAATGGAAAAGCACTGATATTTCTGTTGACGTCTATCATAACTGTCCGCATATTTTTTGTGCCCAATGTACACAACGCCAAACAGCTGTGTGATCGAGTTTCAGTTTTGGAAGTAAAATGCAAACAACGGATAAACAGTATAATTTACATATATTATCAGGTGCTTTTAATAAATGGAGGAGTGCGGAGATCCGTACAAGGTTCAAAAAAGTAACAGAAATCGCTATATATTTTTGTGGATGATTGTCGGGACCATGATATTCACTTATTATTGTACGACATCCTAGCTTTTTCCTGTGTTTCATTTCATTTCACAACATCGTCAAGGAATTTTATGATCCGTTCAAAGATCAGCAAAAGCTTTACTGGCTCATGACCTCTGAAATCGTACTTAGTCCGGTTGAACAATACTGCAGATAATTTTTTTTGAAGGTGATCGATTTGTCTAAAAGTAGAAACATCGGCTGACAAATGGCTTTAGTTTGGTACTTATGTGAACATGTGAATGAATATGTGAATGAACGAACGAAGGAACGAAGGAACGAAGGAACGAATGAGCATTGCGATAAAAAGGGTATGTTCCACTCTTCTTGGGTGTTACCTAATGACACAATACGTTGTGTCACGATCTATGGTGCGCCATACTAATTATGCAACGCTTTTGGGTGGTGTACCATGAAATATTGCCACTTTTTTTTTCATTCGCGAGCGTGTATACCAAGAAAATACAAGAGACGCGTGTCACATAACTGATCTACCATGCCATAGGATATACATTGGCCAACGTACACCATCAATGCAGCGCACGATAGAAAGGTTGGATGTAATACCGTCCAGCATACAACGGCTTTCCTGTGTTCTGATTGGCTGTATTTTCTATGGAATGGTATAAAGTGCAATACGAGACAGTCTTGTTGCTTCCGTGTATTGAACATGAGTTTTCTTCGAATTTTAACCATCATCGTCCTTTCTCTTATCCTTTATCAGGACACTGCGGGCTCTGAACGCTTTGAATCAGTCAGTACGTTATACTATCGGGGAGCTAAAGCAGCAATTGTTTGCTATGGTAAGATTTTTCTGGTTCTCTCAACTTCGTGTTTTTAATTGTACTGACTGCGTCCTTGATTTGAACTTTCGCTGCGCACCAGGATTGGTTACTATCGTGCAAAGTTCTTAGCCAACTCAGAAGATATGTTGTTTTTCTCGTCAGACAATCAATGTGCGTTATCTTGCGCAAGTTGTGATTGGCTCGGTGCGTTTCTTGTAAGTTTGTTCTGATTGGCCAGACTCTGGTAGTGGTCCTGCGGCAGTCATTAGTAAGCTAGTCCAGAGGCACTTCTATGACTTATGGTTTGATTTCAAGTTCGTGCAGGGGCTCCGACCTGTTGACTTCTCAACGAGTTTATTTTGCTTATGATCAGATTTAACTGACTCCTCCAGTTTTGAGAAAGCGAAGTTTTACGTCACGGAGATAGCAAAGCACAATGAGGTGAGTAGCTCCATTTTTAAGTCAATCTAATAGTACTTTATTGATGAGCGACGCCGGACAATTTTTCGAGAGTGAAATGTATTGTGCTATGAATCTGCTGAGACAGAAGCTTCTGACTGAGCTCGATATGTGCTGCTACTTACCAGGTTATTGTCAGCTATATTACGCTCGAATTGAGATCAAGGAAATACAATGTACGTTAAGACAGCTGGGAAAGATGAGGAGGATAGAAGGAAAGACAGGCCACTTTTCTTCTTTCTCCTTCTTTCTTGCACGTTTTCCCTGGACTGTCTGTCCCTGCTGTGTTCGTTTGTTTGTTGGCTGACTGACTTTGGACTGATCGGCTGAAGAATAAGGCTGACTGTCTGTCTGCCTATCCGCGTGAGTAACTAACCGGCCGACCGACCGTCTGACCAACGGACTGACTGACCGACCGACCGATGCACCAACCCACCGACTGACTAACGAACGAACTGACTGAGTTCCTCTGCGTACGAGCCCGGTCAACCTGGCTGGCTCGGTTTCCGAGATCTCGCCTTGCCACCCTTGCCTTCGACGTGTTAATTTGAGAAGCCGGGCTGACCCGGTTACCGAGATCTCGGTAACCGGGATGAAAATTTTCGCATATGAACACTCTAGCCCGGGTAACCGGGACGAAACCTTTTAGACAAAACAGCTTCGCTTTCGCAACAGAGCGACCAAACTGGCACAATATTTGTCTTGTATGTACTTCCACTTTAGGAGTATGCGAATTAGCTTTATTAGTAAAGTAGCAAGAGTCCACAAAGCTACGACAGTCGCGAACGATACAAGTTTATGTTCCACCATTTTGGTTTTGTTTCTTGGATTCCATCCCGGTCGACCGGGCTGAAATTTCACATATGAACAGACCACAAAATTCGTCCCGGTTACCGGGCTCATACGAAGAGGCCCTCCTTTCATACGGACGGACTATTGATTTTCACACCCGCCTTTCGTTTCAGGATTGCTGGATTTACCTGTGTGGAACAAAGCGTGACCTGGTAAACTCGGGTGAGCGAAACAGAGATGTCCCTTACGACGCAGCAGTGAATTACTCCCAAAGTAAGTATTTCGTCCAACCATTCCTATCTAATTTTATCTACGAATTTTCTTCGCATCAGGCTGACGAGAGAAATCACCCGTCTTTAATTCAATCTCATGATGCGTGCTTGAATTTCATATCGATCGATTTTGAAAGACAATTGTTAAGATTTCTTTTCAAAAGTATATCTTCCCCTCTAGAGGTCAACGCAAAGACAGTGATGGAGACGTCAAGTAAAACGGGACAGAACGTAGGTAAGTATAATGGCGATCAAAAGTAAAGTATTTAACATCATCGACTGCTTTTTTAGAACTACTGCTCGTGACATTTTTGTTTCTTAACTTCTCCAGACGAGCTGTTTTTGAGAATAGCTCAAGACATACTACAGGAGATAGCAACAGGTACAAAAACCACATTTTCACATTTTGTATAAGCCGTGTCAAACAGGTTGCATTGTATAATATATTCAAGTATATTTAAACTGCCATTATCGTCTTCCCAATTCCATGGTGAATAATTTACGAGCCCTTGCAATGAAAATAGCGAACTTAGGAATGATTCGATTATACTATCATATGAAAATTCATTTGCTATATCGCTTGCACGGTGACGAATTTATCTCAAGACTGCCACTTTGAATTGGAAAATTTCTGTTTCGAGGGCTCTGCCGTCATCTTATATTTCTGTTCCCTTACAGATGACACAGTGCCTGCACTCAAGTTAGAATTCCAAGACCCGTCACGAAGTCCCCAAACAGCACCCTGTAGATGTAAAACTTGAGCGAATTTAAGCCGGATAACACAAACTGACACCCTCAAAACTACTGTCCGGGGAGGGCAAAGTAATTATGCTGTACATCAAAGAGTGCATGAGGAGTAAATGGCATTGATAGTGTAGCATGAGCGCTATGGACTCAAACGGATACAAGAAATATGACCTGTGCACAGCATTAGCGTAAAATGAAATACGGGACTGAACCATTGACCTAAAGGAGCTGTCATAGTAGACCGAGTAATCTTTTGCGACGTAAAAATCATGTTACCTTCAAAACAAAGCAGACCTCGAAAGAAACGTTTATAACGGTCGAGAAACACTAACGCGGTATGTCAAGACAAACAGGATCCAAGATGGTTAATATTAGGGAGGTTTAAGGGGAATTACGTATAAAGAACACTTTCGCCTGCAAGAGGTTCATATTCGTTTTCCTGGAATCACGGAGAGTGGCCAGAGGAGAAAAACGCAGGCCGATCCTTGAAGACATTTTCAAGCAACATGTAAATAGCTTATTCTGGAAGAAGAACGTTGTAAGATCGAGGAAATAAAGTAATGTAATGAAAGATTTCATCACCAAATAAAAATATTAAAAAATCGTCCCGATTGGCGGAAGTTCGTGTTGTAATTGAGAAGCAAGAGCGTGCAAACTTTCGTAACTACACGTTTCAGTAATTTCAGGTTTGGATGTGAGTGTTTACATGATACGTTTTCAATACGTTTGTGAAGTCACGGAGAAAAAAGGCTTCAACTGAAAGTTGTTCACCAGTTTTGTCACTTGTTTTGTACATATACAAACAACTGTCAATCTCCACAACTTCACACATGTAAAGCCACAACTGACATTGCGAATAGCTATAGGCGTCAGCATGTGATCTTCAAGTTCTATTATAACTCGTGGCTAGCACGCCAGACGCGACCAGCAAGCTGTGGGTGGAGGGGATAGTACTTCGTGGCAATAAAGAATGTACCATTGCACATGTCATCCCATAAAGCGTCGGTTATTTAAATTTCTTCCCCTTCTTCTTGCCAGTGGCAAACTTCTTTTTCTTGCTCGGCATTCTGATCTCCTGGCTGTCGGCTTCATCTTCCAAGGGTCTTTTCTTTTTCTCTTGAATCTCTCTTAGCTCCTGAGTAGACAAATCAAATGCCATAGTCAGAAGGCAAAGTTTAAGTGAAACGTTTACATCCCAAGCCTTCCAGGGGCATTATACACAGGAAATATTAGGAAGGTTTCACGCAACCACGATGACGCTGCGATTCTCTGGATCTTTACAAGTTGTCCCTGTGTCAAAGGTCTCCGTAACCGAACAGAAATATCAGTAATTTACTGTCGTGATGAAATAAAGTTTGGTCATTAAACGTAGTTACGTTCCTTTTGCCTTCGTCGTCGACACGTGGTGGACCCAGGAGAGGCACAAAGCGTAGGGGACTATATAGAGGGAACAGAGGGAGAGGACTATATAGAGGGGACTATGAGGGAGGAATTTACACCCCCTAGGGAGGCAACTATGTATAGGAGGGTTATGAAGGAAAGGGACTTTCTTGAGAAGGTATCATACGTAGGGATTTTCACAGGAGTATCAAAGAGGGAACTTTGCGCCCTGGAGACTATTTGTATTAGCGATCAAGGGAACACACAAATAGCGGAGAGCTTTGCCGAGAGAAAAAGACCCGATGGCATTTCTCTGCACCCTCGTACCATCTTCGCATATCTCTGTGCCTCCGTGACTCGCTCCATCAGTAACATGACTTCCTCCTCCACCGTGGGGTACAGTGGCAGCTTCTTTCCAATAAGCTGCTCGATTCGTTGATATAATTCAACATCGTACCTACAAAAGAATAAGAAGGGGTTTCTAATGACTCTGCCTACCAAGCGAAGTTGTCTCACGCGTCCTAACGGTTACTTCGTTAAGCGTGCGAAGGTGACTTTGGCATCACTGTGTTGCGTACACTGGTAATAAACTTACATTACAACTTATTTGGGAAAATCGCAGGCACAGCAACGTAAAACAAAAAGAAGTATGATATACACTCTACCTAACTAAGCTTTCACTAACAAACTTCTCTCATAAGCTCATCTGTTGTCAGATAAAGGTCCACTCAAGGTCCCAGCTGCTTCATAATGACAGCTTTGTATGTTGCCATCGTCAGTTTTCGGTTTAAATTTGTTGCTCTTTCCCGGCCTAATTGCACTTTGATTGATTGGCCGAGCGATGTATTCAGCTTTACTTGTAGGAGTTATCACAAAAACTCCTCTTCTTACAACGAACTGTGCTACAGAAATTTGTTGAAATACAGTGCTTTTTCCGCGCTGCCGTCGGTTGCGTTTTTTTCCACGCGCTTGAAACTGATCGAGCTTTGATTGGTTCAATTGATTGGTAGGTCGTGCAACTACCGAGTTATAATGAACAAAACAAATCCCGTGACAAAGAACTTGAACTTACTGTGTGACAAAAGTGATAGAGCGTCCTGAGCGACCAGCTCTTGCTGTTCGTCCAACTCGATGAATATAATCCTATAATTAAAGACACACTGTCATTAGTGAGAGAAGAGACTACGTTCATGGCTTCTAACAAGAAAACCATGTAAACAGAATCAAGAACCAAGCCAATTTTTCAGTATGACAAAAACTCAACTAGAATTGACCGATGGTGACGAAAGAAAACGTTACAATACAGACAAAGCTAAATTCATAACACTTTGTAGTCCCATTAAAAACTCTTTCTAGTCTAAATCAAAACTCTTGGTGCACACTTCCTGTTTATATGTTTATAAACAATGTTAACATGTCTACCTTCTGGGCTTAACGAACCAACACTTTACTCTGATCGTAGTTCATAGCTTGCAACGGATAGAGGCACTGCACCTCCCAGAGATGCTAGCCTATCTCAGAGTTACCTCTCGATTCGCACTTCAACACACTAACCTTTTTCAAAATGTCAGCAGACTTCAAAGAAAACAAATAAAACAAGGATGTTACTGTCCAATTTAAGGTTAACATATTTACCTTGGAATGTGTTGGTATATCAAAATTAATCACAACATCCACATGAGGAATATCCAGTCCCCTGCTAGCCACATCGGTAGCGATCAGAAGAGAACGGTCCTTAGACTTGAACTTGTTTAAAGCGCCGAGCCTTTTAGACTGAAAAAAAAAATACACTGACTCAATGCATTGTTGAGCAGACAGCTGACAGGAATAATAAAACCAAGCAACAAAGCGATATTAGCTTGTTGTATCACCAAATTTTCACAACTGTCGTGAAAAAGAATCTGAGAAAAAGGGTAAGGAAAAATTTATCTTTTTGAGCTTGGAATGTCAAAGGCTGACAAACACAGGTGCAGTTCTTCGGCTTCAGTGTGAACAGTACCAGTTTTAAGCAATGTTCCTGAAGCACTCAGTTGCAAGAACAAGTTGTAGTTCAGCAAGAGTGAGTTCTTCAGACATTATCTTTTCACTTTTCCTCAAGCAATAGAACGCCACAAGTTGAAGGAACGACACTTGGGCCGAGTACCTGGTGAGGGTTACAGTTTTTCATATTTGCAGTCTCTAAGACTGAGCTGACGCAACACCCTTTGGCAAATGTATTTTCATCAGACGAGTTTTTAGTCTATGTGAAACCACAGTTTCATTTTTTAAACAGTCAAAAGACCTTCAGACCTTCCCAGTAATGCATTCTGTGCTTCCAATCCAGTAAGTGTACAGCCCGAAAAAAATCCCTGAAAAAGTCTAGCCAGGGTGGCCAAAAGTGTCAAGGGTGGGGAAGGAATGGGAGCAGCAAGGGTGGTCACTACTGAACGTATATGTTCTATACAGTAAATAATCAGAATCGTGTAAGTTGATCATGGATTGGAATCTAATCAACCTAGTAACTAATTGCAGAATCTATTTACCTGATTCATTTGCCCGTGAAGAGGAACAGCTTGCAGGCCGAGATTCCTTAACATTAATGTTACCCTGTAAAAATCAAAAGTAAACGACTTGTAATAATGGTGAAATGTGGTTCCAGAAAAGAATGAAGAAGGTCAACTAGAAACTGAACGGTAGTCATTACAATGATCAAAACTATCTAGAGAAGACAGCAGAAACTGGCCTTTCTTGCTTACCTACATAAGTAAATTTTTCTTTTTGAATTTCAAAGAAAAAAGATACCCACTGAAAATTCAAAATTCTTGAGCATTTCATTTCTTTACCTTTAAATTATGATAAGCACACAATTTTGCTTTGACTTCAAAATGGTGAAAACCGCAATGTGAAACTACTGTAAGCTGCCACATACAAAATTATCTTTAAATTGAAGGAAACCTGAATAATAGTTTACTAAGACAGAAAAACATGACAGAGAGAATAATTATAATAATCCATAAAAAGACCGAGGATGGTTTAAGATGGAGAAGACTAACAAGGATAAATTGAGGCTAAACTTTTCAAGATGCACAAACAATGACATAGCTCTCTTAAATGCTTTCATTCAGATTCAGAAGAGAAACTAGCCAATGTTAATAATGACAGCGACAAGCTATGTTACCTCTGCACGTTATTGCATGTACCACAAAAGACCATGAAGGTATTTCCAGCCAGTTCATTAAGCACAGATACAAGGTAACAGTCCTGTGGTGAAAAGCAGGGTGTGGTTATCGTTCATCTTCTACAAAATTAGTTTGAGAGATTGCAGGGCTAAAAATTAACTTCAGTGCTTGGTCGCCACTCAGGCCAGTATCCCTGAACTCTTAGTGGCCCAGGCCAAAATGAAGTGGCCCTCAAATTTTCTCGTACAGTCGGTTACTCTCCAGAACATCGTCCTTGCTTTTGGCTTTTCTCGGTGGCGGCTGTTCACATCCAGAGAGGTATTTCCACATTTTGTTTTCCAAACTCGAGCAGTTTGCCGATATTCGTGTTTCCAAATGTACCGCACAGACCTCTGGGTAAGTCTGGAGTCACGTGTCAATAAAATCAAAATGGCGTCTACATATCGGAGCGATCTAAAAACTCGATCACGAACGGCTTTAAATTTTGCGCTTTAGAACTAACTTTTACTACAGATTGATGAACTTAGAGCTCAGGAAAGAACAGAAAGAAAGGAAAGGTACTCCAAGGAAAGAGCATTTTATTTCATCTTTATTGTTATCCTTTGTGTACTTCTCAAATCGTAGTCGCCCTTCGGGCGATCAAACCTCAATTCTTAATGGCCCTGGGCTCTTTTTAATTGCCACTGGCGACCGTGCGACTGCCAAGTTTTAACCCTGAGATTGGTAATTTGATATATCTGGGGTAAAATTACAGTGAAGCAAATCTAAGGGGATTGACCTTCATTCAGGTTATCAGAAGGTTCATCAAATTGATGATTAAAAAAAATTGAGATACACTGTAGATAGCTTAAGCCACTGCATTTTCTTGAATTTCATTAATTTCCACCAAACAGATGCTTCATGGTACATTTATTTTTTTGCACAGACTCACTTTCTATCAACACATTGCCATAATTGCGGAGCTCTAGCCGCCCGAAGGCTGCAGAAGGACCGCCATGCAGAGCACCATACTCATAGGAACCCATGAATTGCTTTTCTCCCGGTCATCATGGCTAGCAGTATTGCTCGGGGGCATGTACCCATGACAGCGACGAAGTCGCACAACATGGCGGTCATACCCCAATAGGTTGACCAAGACATGCAGCCTTGGTTTATAGTGTACCTCTTTGATATTGGACATCCGTGTTATGGTCAGTTGACACATGTCAAGACAAAGTATACAGCTTGCCTAAACCTATATATTACAGAAATAAGGAAAGATTCATTCCTTACCTTAAATTTGTTTGGGATAAATAGATAACTCTGTTGTAACTTATCAACTGTTGTATACCTGGCACAAGAAAATATCAGTCAGAGATGTTTTTATTACAGGTGTACATCTATGGAATGTTCACTACATGCACAAAAACAATGTCAAAAAACTCACTTTGTTGCAACCTCAACTTTAACCGGATTTTGTAAAGATGCTCTTTGAAGTTTTTCTACCTGTGAAAACAAAACATTCAAAAAGAGACATTGATGGAATATCCTATATACTGAACATCTTGCAAACACAGTCTGTAAGTTATTGTTACAGTGCAAGGTGAAAGTCTCAAACTACTTCATAGTAACTACATGTATTCACATTGATATAATAAGTCAAATTATTCTTGCATTTTGGTTGGTTCTTTTTTATGAGCTGTTGGAGGAGAGACAAATAAATGATGTCATTGGCATTCTTTTTTGTTTCTTTATTAAGTTCATAGTACTTCAATGTGACAGTGGGAGAAAGCATAAATTACTTTATTCATGCTTTCACATTCCTTTGATCTGCAACAACAAAATTCTACTGGTTACCCATAACATTTTTCAGAACTGCTCACTATTCTACTGCACTTAAGACAACCATTCTGGAGGTGAGATATGCAGATCATGATATTCCAAAAGGATTATAGTCGCTCTAATATGGCCCAAAACAAATTACATTTAACACAGAGCTTTCGGGTCACAATGCTAAATTCTACAAAGAAATGTCACCTTTTTGGTCATAGTTGCCGAGTACAGATAAGTTTTCCTTTCTTTGGGAATGATCTTTAATATCTTGTCAACCTGTAGTTCAGCAAAAGTGAAAGTACATATTAATAAAGAAGTGATTTTTTACAGTAAATCATAGCTAGTAAATCATAGCTCCAAGTACCAATAAAAATATGTAAATGTACTTGCATTAAACAGTTTTGGAAATCCTTCTATAAGTAGTTGCATAACAATCTTATTTCTGTATTAATAGTCTAATATTAAATATATATGTGGCCCACCTAGATTAGCCCAGGCTGCCTGTGGGTTCGTGCTGTTGCTATTGTCAAGCTTTTTTAACTTAATGTGTATATATTTCTGTAAAATTGTACAAGTCATATGTGAGTCATAATAATAAAAGTTGTCGTTGTTGTTGGTGTACACAAAAAGAAAAAATATGATTCTTTTGAAAGAAAAATACTAACACTGATTCAAGAATGGCTCCAAAACTGTATAATTACAGCAATGTTTGAAGTGAACTGACCAATTTACCCACCATTTCCACAGAAAACATATCACAGAATCAATAAAAGAAAATCCTTGGTTACATAACATATCAAGTACCATCATTTTACTACAGGCAAATACCAGACTGCCATGAATGAAAAGGTTGTTTCCTGAAGGCTTAATATGCAAAATGCTCAATCAAAGAAAAAGCAATAAAATTGTCAGAGCATTAAAAGCTGACAAAACTCACCTCTTTTTCAAAATCAAGATTTAAGATTCTATCAGCTTCATCCATAATCTATACAGAAACAGAATAATAAAAATATAGAAGGTGACTTTTTAATTTAATTTGTAACATAGATACTATGAACATTTTTATTGCTTCCCGCTTTTGTCTTGTTAATTTCTCTTCAAGGTGATTCCACTGAATTGCATTGAGTATCCCTTGTGCAAACATTTGCAATGTCATTAACATGCCGTTGCGCATACCAGGGATAGAGAAATAAATGCTCATTTTCTCTTAACCAAGCACAGCGACCAATATTTTTATTGCATAATTTTAGTGTACAAATTTTCCTCTCTAAGTTAGAAAATTGAACAAAAGTTTTACTGATAGAAAAGATATTTATTTAATAGCTAAAAGCACACACAAAACTATTACTTGAGGATGTTAAATAAACTATGATCTTAAAAACAATGATCCAAGTAACATTTTGAGTTGATGTTGTTTAAAATTGCATGATTTTCCACAAATTAGGGTAGCAAGGGTGGTGTGGGTGGTGAGGGGTGAGGGGTGAGGGTTGTGGGAGTGGCCAGAGTGGTGAAAGTGGCGAATTAGGGTGGCCAGGGTGGTGAGAGTGAAACGGGTGGCGAGGGTGGAGAGGCTGACAGGGGTGGCAAGGGTGGCAAGAGCAGCTAGGGTGGTAAAGGTGGCTAGGGTGGCAAGAGTGGCAGGGGTGGCAACGGTGGCAACGGGGACCAAGGTTGCCAGGAAAAATCAGAGGGAACAGTAAAAAATTTGGGGAGTTACCTTAAAGGCATCATGCAAAAACAGGTCAGCATGTATTGATAAATAGAGGTTACTGCCAGAAAACAACATTTACCCACCAAATATTTTAATGTTCTTAAATTGAATCCTTTTGTGTTTTCCAAGTGATCTATGAGCCTTCCTGGTGATGCTGTAATTTATAAAATTCATATACATCCATTGATTATCCATTGAATGATTGATAAACAGNGTGAAGAGACAACAAAGAGGAAAGATGGCAATGCATGCTGGTGAAATCCCCTCCTTTGGCATGCACGTGTACGAAACTCAGACAGGATCAACTTGGATTGCTGATCTAATTAAAAATGGCCACTTTTGTTTATGCCTTGCTCTAGAATAGTTGTCATTCTTATTTAAGTCAGAAACCTGATCTGATCCGGTCTGAGTTCTGTCCCTGCATGTTTTCTGGCTTGAGTTTTTCAAACCTACTTTACACTTGAACCTGTACATTTCAGTTTGTCGTAAATGTGCTATCATTACCATCATCACCTTTGGAAGACTGTATTAAGAACTTGGTGATCTTAATACATTGAGGTGACAGGTAGAATAAGTCTCTCAAAATTTATTAGATCTTTAGCAAATCAAATAAACAGACCTTGTTGGTGTAAGAATAAGTGCATATAGTCTCTGTGGATTTTCAAGTAATGTTTGAAGAACTGGCAAAGCAAAAGCTCCTGTCTTCCCTGAACCTGTTTCAGCTAAACCAATAATATCTTTGCCTGTGAATAAAATGGTTTGACATGTTAACACTTTATCAACCAGTAGTGGTACATGCAGACATCCACATGTAGTCACGTGTGGCAGCACATTTTCTTTATCCTTGAAACCTGTCTGCTTACCAACATGCAACAATGGTAAATGGTTAATAGATACAATACATTAATTTCGTCCACTATAGTACAAAGAAATAAAGGGAATGAGAAATTATATTTGCAGTTACATGTAGATAAGTAAGCTTATATTGTGACACTTTATCATTCCCAATATTTACGAAAAATTCTGTTGTTATCAGGAAAAGTGACACTAGAATTCTGTTCGTTTTGCTGTCATATTTATTTCAAAATATCACTATTTCTCACCTTGCAAAGCGACCGGGATAGCTTCCCTTTGAATTTTTGTTGGCGACTTCCAACCAAGTTGCTGGCATGCTTCGCAGAGAACATCCACCACACCCTGATAAAAAAAGTATTAAATTAGTGGGCTTCAATTGAAACTTAAGAAACACTGATATGAACCTCTTAGTATCCCTTACCAGGGATTCAAAAGTAACTTTTTCACTCTCAACTTCTTCTTCGACAGTCGCCATTTTGAAAGTTTCTCCACGTGATCGAACGGCTATGTAACCAGGCCAGGTAACCAGGCTAACCAGTGAAGTCGTAACCTTGTTCCCAGGGTCCTCTCTCTACCTAAGGGTAGAGGTAGAGAGAGGACCCTGGGAATGAGGTTGGTGAAGTCATGGAAACGGCTGAAAATGGCGGCCGACAAGTTTGTTGTGGAACTTCTGTTTTCTTTTCAATTCTCCTCGAGGGTAGAATTCCTCTACCTCTCTTAGCTTAGAAATTAATGTAGAAGGAAAATATCTTTCGTGTTTGGTAACTTTGGGAGGT